AGAGAAGAGAATATGGAAAGGATTGGGGAGGAGGTGAGACAGCTGATGGAAAAGCTGAGGGAAAAACAATTCAGTTACAGTCTGCGGGCAGTTAGCACTGACCCCCCTCACCGTGACCATCATGATGAGTTTTGTCTTATGCCTTGAATTCTGATGTTTTCTTTGAAGTTAATAGGAAAACACACCTACCTAAACTTACATGTTTTCAGTGTACCTTTGTTGTAAATCTTTTGGTGTTAACCTGTTTCTTGTGCGTCTCCTACCACCGCTTCTGATTGAATATTGTATTTTGACCCAATGTGTAAGATTCTGTCAGCAAGGGAATCTTACCCTATTGAATGGCAAGATGCTCATTATATATTGTGAAGTTAATAAAGCAGTTTAAAAAGGCATTCTCTGTATTCTTTTCTATTTCAGATCTCCTATATTTTGTATATGAAGACAGTCTAAGAATATATAAAGTAAAAAGTTAAAGTGTTTATCTTTTTATGGTAGAATTATGAATAATTTTAATTTTCTTACCTATATTTTATTTCAGAACTAAACACATTACTAATGAAAGAGCTTAGCCACCTATAAAAACAACGTGGGCACTTACCTAAAAACTTGTGACAGAATTTCAGTTTTAGCTTACCTCTGGATCTCTATTTAGAAGTATAAACTAATAGTGATAAGAGACACATCTTTTAAAAATCATACTCATCAGAAAGATGATAACTCCAAGGGCTGCTGTGTGTACTTGGTGAAGCAATAAGTGTAAGCTTTCTCCAAGTTCTTGTTCCCACTGGAATGTGTGCATGACCCAACTTTAGATATCCCTTTCAGCTATTTGGGGAAGTTTCCAAAGCCAGTTCTTCCCTATACTCCCAAACAAGTCTAGTAGACTAAGAGGTAAGTACTTCTATTCCTCTGCTACTGTGCCCCATTCCCATCTTCTCCCCTGGGTACATCAGTTCAGGAGTCCTCAAGGTGAGGAAATCCCACTGATTTTTTTTTCCAAAACACTCAATAAAGTGAATCCTCACTCTTCTATAAAAGTGTAAGTTCCCTCTCCCTTTTTAGCTTCATGAAAAGACCTTATCTGTCTAGTTCTCTATTTCTTTAGGTGTGTAGTTCTTTCCTAAGAAACCTCCTTAGTTCATTAGACTATACAGGATGTGTAAGGGAACACAGCTCACTTTCAGTCTGAGACAGTCCCTCCTCATTCCAGCCCCCTGAAGTTTAGGAATATAAAGAATTAACCTACATTGAGTTGAATGCCAGGAGATTATGTCAACGAATACCCAAATGTGGGTAATTATGAGAAGTCCATTGGAGGACTGTTGGGTTTAAGTTCCAATAGAACTTGGGAAATGAAGTTGCCTTGGAGTGTGCTATGTAGGTGAAGTATATATTATATATGAAGACAGTCTTGTGGAAATAAACTTAGAATTTAGGATTCTAGGGGTGCCTGGGTGGCTCAGTTGGTTGGACACCAACTCCAGCTCAGGTTATGATCTCACGGTTTGTGAGTTCAAACCCTACATCGAGCTCTGTGCTGACAGCTTGGAGCCTGAAGCCTGTTTTGGATCTTGTGTCTCCCTCTCTCTGCTCCTTCTCTCTCTCTGTCTCTCTTTCTCTCTCTCTCTCTCTCTCAAAAGTAATATAAACATAAAAAAAATTTAAAGAAGTTCAGATTCTAAAATGGAAGTTTGCAAACCACAATCTAAGAGCCAGATTTGGCCTATTATTTTTGTGTCCAATGAGCTAAGAATAAATTTCATGTTTTTAAATGGTTGAAAAAAATCAAGAATATTTTTGGACATGTAAAAATTATATGAAATCCAAATCTTAGTGTCCATAAATAAGTTCTTATTGGAATACAACCATACTTAGGAATTTACACACTGTCTGCACTACAGTGGCAGAGTTGAATAGTTGTGAAAGAAACAGTTTTGCCTGCCCGCAAAGTGTACATATTTATTATCTATCCCTGACAAAAAAATTGCCAACCCCTGCTCTGGAATATAATGTCACAATAACAGTTGTGAAACCCAAGGAAAAAATGGATAAACAGGTGAAAACCATGTAACGGCAACCCCCAGACATCATAAATCAGATGCGTAAGCAATTCCAAAGCCCTCCCTCCTCCAGGTGCTTGAGATATAAGGCACATTCATGCAAGACAAGTTCATACAGAGAAAAGCTAGAGTTGAAAGGGCAGGTGAACTGATGAACAGAGAAGCATATGCCCTACCATACTTCCTAAACTTGATTGTTAATATTAGCACCAGATTTTCTGGAAAACAGAAGCATCCTAGATTCACTGGCCTAAGGATATTCTTCATCCTTGAAGAAAAAGTGGAAGCTTACATGTGAACTCATGCCATACTGTAATAGAAGTTTAAGCATGTATATGTCTAGAAAAATGTACATCTCTTCCATGTAAGGCAGATCCAAGTTGCCTTGTTAACCTCAGAGAAGGATCAGTTCAGGATCCTAGTCTTTGAAGAGAGACACTGCTGTTAACCAGCTTCCCTTGGTTGTTAGTAGTGTTTGGATCTGAAGGGACATCTGAGGGAGTAGTATGTGAGTGGTTAGGCTCCCTATACAACGTTCAGGTAACAAACAACCAGCAGAAAGTGAGTGAAAGCCAGTAAGGGAACAGAGCATCAGGTTCCCTCAAGGGAAACAGACATATATTTGCCCATTTATATCATTTCTATGTGTTGTGTAGTGAGTCTCCTTTTTTCCCTCTGGCCATTGTCCATGAAAAGAACAAATTATTCCCATAAGTGCCTAAAAATTTGGATAAAGAGAAGGCAGTGAGATTAGGGATTGTGCCCTGGTTCTCAAAAAAAAAAAAAAAAAAAAAAAAGGATGTGCAAGAAAGAGGCTTGAGATATAGATATGTGGTGGGCCATTGGAGTTTTAGCATATCATGCACATCTAGTAGGTATCTGGTGAATGAAAAATTCAACAAAGTAAGTATGGATTTACTGGTATTCAGCAAATGACAAGTATGTACATCTTTGAATCCTTATGTAAATTGAGATAATAATGCAAATAATGTTTCATAACTTTTGAATAAAAATAATTACTGTTTGTTTTCAAAAATTCAATTCAATTGAAGGAAATTCAGAAAATAAATTTAAAGGCCACAATGTGACCAAAGAAAGCAGTGCAATTTGAACTTTCTAGTCAGGCAGAGCAGGGAGAATACACAGACACTGGACTCTTACAGGAGTCCAGGTAGCATAGGAAACTTTGGTTAGAGGCGAAATAAATCCTTCATGATTAACTATCATTTAAAACACAAAGCCATATTTATGCTTCAAGTGAAAATGGAATAACGGTATGGATTTACCTCCCTAACTGAAACAACTAAAACGGGGACAAAATACATGAAACAACAGTTTTCAGTTATTTAACGTCCAGAGAGTTGGGAAAGTTAATTGAAAGAGCAGAAACAAATAATATGAGCCTTCTAATTGCCCCCAGCTTACTGTGTATTGTAGGATTTATAGCATATGTAGAAGTTAAATGTATGTCAATAATAGCACAAAGACCAGGAGAGGGTTAATAGGAGTACAGGATTTTGAAGTTCTTATTCTATACATTAATATCACTTGAAGGTAGATTATGAAATATTAAAAATGTATAAACCTTAAAACAATCATGTAAAAAGTTGTAGCTGATGAGCCAACATATGAGATAAAATGGAATCTTCAAATAGTCAATGAAAAATGTTAGAGGAAAAAGAACAAAGAACAGATGGGACAAATGGAAACAAATAGCAAGATGATTGATTTAAGCCCAAATAAATCAATATCAATAATTGCATTCATGTAAAAGGTCTAAATACCTCAAATATAAACCAGATATTATCAGATTGCATATAAAAGGAAGACAAATATATGCTGCCTATAAAAACCGTATTTTAAATTTAAAGATATGGATTGATTACAAGGAATGGAAAAACAATGAGCAATCTTAACATCAATCAAAACAAAGCTTGAGTGGCAATATTGATTCAGATACAATAAATTTCAGGGCAGAGAATAGTATCAGGGATGGGGCACCTGGGTGGTTCAGTCAGTGAAGCATCCAACTCTTGATTTTGGCTCAGGTCATGATCTCACAGTTTGTGGGTTTGAACCCCACATCAGGCTTTATACAAACAGTGCAAATCCTGCTTGAGATTCTCTGTCTCCCTCTTTCTCTCTGCCCCTCCCCTGCTCTCTCTTTCTCTCTGAAAATAAATATTTTTTTTTAAAAAAATAGTAATAATACCAGGGATATTACAGTTATAGAAAGTCATTACATAATTTTAAGTGCTAAGTTTGTCAAAAGGACATAGCAATCATTAACATTCATATGTTACAGTGCTTTAAAATATATGAAGGAAAAACTGATAGCACTGAAAGGGAAACAGACAGATCCACAATTACAGTCAGAGAATTCAACACCTTCTCTAAAATATTGATAGAACAAGTAGACAATCAGCAAGAACATATATCACTTGAAGAACACTATGAAACAACTTATCTAGTTGACAATTGTAGAACTTGCCACCAACAACAGTAGAACGTACCTTTGCTTCATTTGCACAAGGAACACTTACCAAGATAGTCCATATTCAGGGCCAAAAAGTAAGTTTCAAAAATTTTAATAGGATTCATATCATAAAATATATGTTTTCTGAGCAAAACAGAATTAAATGAGAAACTAATAACAGAAAGATATCTGGAAAAATCCCAAATATTTAACATCAAACAGCACATGTCTAAATAACACAAGGAAGAAATCAAAGAGGAAATTATAAGGCATTTTGAACTGAATGAAAATGAAAATTCAACATATAGTAATTTGTGAGATGTGGCAAAAGCACCACTTGGGCAGAAATTTATAGCACTGAACATACATATTAGAATAGAAGGAAGCTCTATATCTATTAAATAAATAGAAATCTTTAAAAAAAAGTTTTTTATTTGAAGTATTTTTGGTATCCAATGTTATATTAGTTTCAGGTATACAGCATAGTGATTTGACAATTTTCTACATTAAGCTATGCTCACCATGAAAATAAATGGAAATTTTATTTAAAATACTTCCTCTAAAGAAAACCACAGGTCAAGATGGCTTAACTGTTAATTCTACCAAACATTTAGGAATTACATAATACCAATTCTATTCAAAATCTTTTAGAAAATTGAAAAGGAATAGCTCCCAACTCACCCTATGAGGCTAAAATTACTCAGATAACTAACCAGACAATTATGTTACAAGGAAAGATAACCATAAACTAATCTCCCTCATGAACATATATGTTCTTTTTTTTTTTAGAGAGAGAGAGAGAGAGAGTATGAGCAGG